AAAAATGACAATACCTATTTCGCACAGTTGAGGAAAATATTCCCATAGTTTACAATAGCCGGCGCAGTAAAATTACCTTGCTTTTCTTATCATGACTACAAAAAGTAACTCAATACAAAAATGGGGGAGAAATCTCAGGAATCATCTACAATATTTATTGGGGCGATGATGACTAATTGATGAATTAGATAATAAGTAAGTTTTACTAGGTGCGATTGTGATACGTACCTATGTACAGGACCAAGTTGTTGGTAATAATTAAGTTACCTAATTCTCATTGGCTAAGTTTGGTATTGAAGTATTATTTCATGTTCTTATTGCGATTTCCGCGTGTTAGCATATTTTCCGAAAGCATATACTGAACCATAGTTAGTTGTTGACAGAGCTGTTGTAAGTACCAAGAAAAATAATTTAGAGAATCCCAATGCTTCTTCAGAGTTTAACTAATTCATCTGGATTTCGACAAAATTCATCGAAACTTTCTTTGTTGTTCTTGGCAAAAACTTCCCTAATTTCACACTTGAAAAACATTTCCAGTGAACTTCCTCGAACTTCTTCAGGCTTGCAAAATTAGATCTTTCTTATTGTAGTACTTCTCCTAATTTTCGGAAACTTCTCTCAAACTTTTCTTTACTTCCTCTACACGTTCCTTGGAATATAGAGGTGGAGTCTTCACAGATAGTTCCCTCTCAAATATGTGAAAACTTCTTCCATAATTTGATAAATACTCCTTCAATCTTTCCGAATTCTCTTAATACGTTCTTATGTACCTTCAAGCTTTTCCGAACTTTCCCGGACTTATTCTTCAGACTTGCATAATTTGAATTTTCTCCGGACTTTTCCAATAATGCTTCCTCAGACTTTGACTAATTTACCTGGATTTCCACAAAATTCATCGAAAATTCCCTTTGTTGTTCTTGAGTTTGAGCAAAAACTCCCAATTTCAAATTGAAACTTCATCTTTTGACTATTTGCAAAACCTTTCTAGTGAACTTCCTCGAACTTCTGCAGACTTGCAAAATTAGAATTTGACTGATATTTTAAGTAGGTATTGAGTACAAGTACCAATGTTTGGATTAGTACTTAAGTTAACTACTTAAGTATATTTTTGTACTTAAGTATTTACTTCAAGTATTTGAAATACTCAGTACAACAGCTCTGGTTGTTGAAATGTGAAAATTCATTATCAAACAAAAATGAAAATTCTAGAAAAGGGGCCTATTCTATCTTTAATAATGAATACATGTTTTAAAACGGACAAAGGTCCTTATTTGCTTTATGTTCCTAGAGGATCAGCGCAAATATGTTTTTTTGTGTGTCTAGTTTACCTACGTTGATATCATATCATCATCACACAGCTTCCTGGATTGTTTTCAGTTTTCAGGTCTCTCGTCTATTCTAGGTGATCCATGGATCAGACGCCGATGTGTCTAGAAAGGTAAAGACTTTTTCAGGACCTGATCTGCAACTGGTACCTACTAGAAAAGTCTATGTAGGTATGCTTTCATCAATCGTCCAATCCTCAGCTGTGACAGGTACATCAGGTGATTGAGTTAGTTTATGGTATTGGACTCTGAGCATTTGGCTGTAAATGTTCACAATAACTCTCTCTTCAAATGATTTAATACCAATTGAAGTTACGTTTCACCGATATCCAGGACAACAAATTCCTGCTTTGATTATTTCTTTTTGGTATTTGGTGTCCCTTGGGGAAGCCTAATGCCATAGGTGTCCTGGATCTCATATTTACTACATGAATATACTACTAATACCTTATTTAAGGCAAGTGTAGCAGTGGTGGCACAACCGAATGCCGACGAGAAATGGTTGAATTTTAATTGGCTGTTGGGTATCGGCTGCGCAATGTGATTTCAAGTGGATTCAGTTTAGTGGGGCCTAATAGAATAGGTGAGCTCTCTAACTTTTCCAGGCAAAATTGTTTTTGTGATTTCCAGATGAAGACACAGGTGATTATATCCTATATTGTAGCAGAAATGTTCTTGTTTGCAGAAGATTATTCCAGAAGAGGAACATTGCAAATATATGTTGTCTTGTTTAGGTTTGTATCATCATCATCACACAGCCTCCTACTACTGGGTCCACTGCTGAAGATCTGCATTCTTAAGTTATTTCCAGGTCTACCATTTCTACGCAGTTGCAATCTGGTTTATCTTTGATTCTTTTCAGTTCACTATCACAAGCAGGAAATCTTCGCAGTTTTCTGGACATGTGCATATTCCCTGCAGATAGTGGTGTCATAAAAAGGTTTGCATCTTGGTACAATTAAGTCTTCATCGTCGTCATTCAATTGATAGTCTTGTAGGTGTGTCAGTATTTTTCTTATTCTCTCACTTCTTCTAGGGTTTTTATTTCTCAAGTCTTGTGCATTTTTACTTTCTCCTTCTTTTTCACTTGAATATTCAGTAACTCTTGTTTTCCTTCATCTGCTTGCTCGTTGTCTTTGACTCTCCGGTCCTCTTTATAGGAATCAGTTTGTGAGCTTCGCATCCAAACAACTTTACCTTATCCATGTTTGGTTTATATCCATACCATACCTCAGCAGGTAGTTTCTGATTGGTCAGGCAGGGTTGAAGTTTCTGTTCCGTTCAATAAGAAAACTGAAGTCAACACAGCCTCATCCCACATTTCTTTTTCCTAATTTAGAATCAAATAGAAGAGGCATCGGGCCTTTTCCATTATTGTTTGATCCTCTCAGCTATTCCATTATCTTGTTCTGGACTTCTTGGAACAGTGTACTGCAAATGAATTCCTTCATTGTTACAAAAGTCTTTTAATTTTTGAGAAACATATTCGCCACCATTATCCAATTTTATTCTGTCTAATTTAGGTACCTATTTATTAAATTTTGCTTTGACTCGCCCTTATATTATATTCTGTTAGCTTCTCCTGTAACTTGGCTCCTGTTTTCCTGGAGATAACAAATGGAAAAATGTGAATAATGATCGATAAATATCACGTAGTGGCGTTTTCCATCATGTGTTACAGGCCTAAATGGTCCACAGTCCACACACATCAGTTGAAATTCATTGAGATTCTTTTTACTTTTCTTTCTTCATCTAGTGTTTTAAAAGGCAGCCTTGTTTGTTTACTTTCTAAACAAGTTTCACAAACTTATTCAGGTGAGGGATATTCACTAGAATGGCCCATCTTTTTGTGCATCAACAATTAAACTAGAGGAGATATTTAAAAATCTGCTATATATAAATTCCCATGTCTTTTTCCTTGTAGAACTATTCTGTTTTTCTTCCATACAATTACTTTTCCATTTCCAAATACAACTCTCATTTTAGCTTGTTCCAGTTTTCTGACTCAAAATGTTTATTTTTGTATGTTTTAGAGCTCCCTGTATCTACTAAGGCATCAGCAACGATATTGTTTAATTTAATTTTGACAAGAAGTTTGGTTAAATTTTCAGGTGCCGCATAAAGAAGCTCAGACCCCATATATAATTGCGGCAAAAGCTTTGACTTTTCTTTTGCTAATACATACCTTGGAGAAATGTCCACATTTTCCGTACACGTGGAATCTCTAGCAGGGCATAACGTGCGAAAATGACTTCCGATACTTCCACAGAAATAACATTTGTATACTTTCGTAGCAGCAGAAATAAGGTCTTCATGTATTTCTCTGCTATCAGATTGAATTGAGTTAATGGCACCTTGAGAGATGCTATATGCTTCTAAATGTTGCTGTGCCGATTCTAGAGATAGAGCTTGATTTTTGGTTTCATCGAACTTCCGAGTGGTATTCTCCAAAAATCGGTTTTGGGAAGACCTCAAGTTACTAATGAAAAAATTTCCATAGATGTTTTGACTTTCTTCAGCGTTGACAGCTTTGAAATTGCAGTCTTTACTTAGATGTTTTAATGCTTGTGAGTATTGATCAACGTTCTCTCCAGGTTGCTGCTTCCTGGATGTGAGGCAATGTCTGGTAAATAATTCATTTTTAGGTTAAATGAAAATTAAATTAAAAATTTTAATAGTTTCTGAGTAAGAGGGGTTAATCACTCCCCGAAATCGTGTCACAAATTCGTCCGAAATCCCCGAAGTCATTCCGAAATCCCCGAAATGCTTCCGAAATCCACGAAATCACTTCGAAACCCGAAATCCCTCAGAAATCTTTCCGCAGACCCAAAAATTCCTTGCATTTGGCCCAAAATTCATAAATCGGCCAACGCGGTCGTTTTTCAGTTTATATTAATACCTACACTTTCGAATATACTTATAAGATAAGTAACAAGTAAATAGCAGTCTAAAATCAAATTAAAATATTTGTGAAATCACCTGAGATTCTCCGAAATCCTTCGAAATTGCCTGAAATCCTTCGAAATCAACGGAAATCCCTCAAAACGCTATAAATCCAAAATCTTGTCACAGTGAATAATCTCTCGAAATCTTTCCGAAATTCTACCGAAATCCTTCGAAACCACCCGAAATCCCTCAAAATCGCTCTAAATCCGAAATCTTGTCACTTTTTCCTTAGTAAATAACTCCTCGGTACAGCAGGATATGCACTCATAATTGTTGTGACTCTTATAGCTATAGTTCACCAAGAGTTTTAGTTTTCCATCATCTTCTAGCTTATCAACGGATGATATGGGATTGTTGAAAGTTGCTTTCCAGTGAGTCCACTCTTGAGCAGCTTTCGGGAAGTCGAATCGTTCAAGAGTCTATCCATCTTGTTTATTGTAATGATATACTGAATTACAGCACAAAAATTGAGATAAAGTTTCAAAAGAGAAATAATACGTTTTCTGGATTAGAATGAGATGATATTCCCAGCGATTGCCAGTGGGTTCCTATGTGATTTCCATGGAGTCCTAGGAGATTCCTAGCGATTCCCAGAGACTCCCAAGTGATTTCCATGTATTCCTGATTGATTACTATGTGATTCCCAAAAAAAATGTACAATGATTTCCACTAGTGGTTTACCCCTCGCTCCTAGGATACTCTCTGAATATTCTCAAAATCATTGAAACTTGTGCATTTACTGATTGTAATGAAAATGAAACTTAAGCATTTTAAACAATATATTAAGTTTTTATAACATAAGAAAATTAATATGTATTTAAGTCTTAAAGACGCAATCTTTTTATTTCTTCCGATTTGAAGTCAGTCCTGAAAAAGTATCAAAAATAGTAGTTTGGGACAATAATTTTGGCAAAAAAATATTTTACCTCAAATTTAATACTGTCTTGATTTCACTAGGCGCCAATCTCCAATTAATAGCCCCATCGGCATTGCCGTAATAATCGTTTATTTCTTCAATATAGTCAAAATTTAAGATAGTGGCTATTTGCGTTAGACGGGCAAATTGATCTCTTGCAGACCAATAAGTCCCAGAAACTATATAACCAGCAAGAGAACGGACTTCTTTGTCAAGGACCAAACCCCCTAACTAAAATGTAAAAAAATGTATGAAAGTATATAAATAAAACAATTATTATTTACCCTGTTAAACTGGCTCTTCATAACTACTTTTTCAAATCTCTGAGTCACTTCTAAAGTCAATACTTGTATAAACAATTCATAGTTATTTGTGCTCAAAATGTGTTTGAATGAAGAAAGTAAAGTTTCCAAATTCATTATGAGAGTTTGGACAAAAGACTCGCCTGCTTCATAAGCAGATAGCTCATCCTAAAATAAAAAAATTTGCAATAAAATTATAGCTTTAATCTTGGAACCTTATATTACCTCAGATAATTGATGACTGAAATTCATAAAAGTATCCACCCAAGGATTAACCCTAGGCTTGATGGCGGTACTTTTCAATTGCTGTATACCGTATTCGATAATCTCGCTCAATTTTGCACTGACCGCCGATATTCCTGATAAACAACTTTCCAATTTGCCTTGTTCTTTGGTGTTCATATTGGGACAAGCACCTTCGATTTCTTTCATTATATTGTCAACCAATGCTGTAACGTACTCGGTACTAATGTCTGCATTATTTAGAGCAACCTAAAACAATGTTTACAATAAAATAAATAGATTTTTAATTTTATATTTTTATTCAATTGAATAAGTATAATAAGTTCAATTTTCATTATTGTTGGGCTTGTCAGATTGAGATTGCTGCTCTTCTTCATCCGGATCATAAACGCTTCTATTTTTAATTAAAAACTCCGCCAAGCAAATGATAGGTTCTGGAGGTCTCTCTTTAGCCAAATAAGTTAATCCGCTCATGAGGATAGGCACGACAGTCTGATCCAAATACTGCCTGGTAGGCACGACGCTCAAATCTTCTCTACTTTTCTTCGGAATGTTCTCTTGGTTTTCCATTTTCAGAGCGGCTTTGATTATTTTGCAATAAGCCGGATTGCCGGCCAAGTGGCAAACTTCCGAGGCGATTTCTTCGTTGCTCATCAAGCTGGAGTGGCTTTTTTCCTTGATTTTTGGCGGAGCTGAGTTTGTATCGCTAGTACTGCCCAGGGTTGTTTGGGTACCTTCTTTAGTGTTCATGTTGATAAGTATGCTGTTCAACAATGACCGTTTGTTTGTCAATGACAAAAGGACCAGTTCAAGCTTTGGTGTTTTTTCGCAGGTGAGTGTGAATAATTTTCAAGGTGCATACTTCCAAAAAACATACTATTTATGGTGCTATTTATGCGTCAAAGAGTATATTTTTCCACTATTTTTCTTATGTTTAAGTTGTGAGACAAAATGTGCCATTTTGAGAAAAATCGAACAGAATCAACCATATTGAAAGTTTAATTTTTTCCTTGCAAAAAATCTTCCAGGGCTTGAATAGAAATTTTGCAAAGGAACAGAGGTAAAATTGAAATTTAAATTGTATTGCTAAAGCTGTAGGTAGGGTTCAAAATATAAGGAAACCCTGTACCTGACAATTGACTCTATATAACTTTTAGAAAAAAATTTGTAAATTGCTCAAAATTTCAGAATTTGTAGAGAATTTGATAGGCATTTAAATGAACTATTCGGATTTCCTCTTAAAAAAATTCTCCTAGATATACATGTTTTTTGAGAGACTTTTATTTTCCTCAAAGTCACACTGTAGTTTGATGGCATTTTTTTCCAATAGCTCTAATATCCCATCTAAAAATCTATAAAATTCTCTATAGTTCCTAAAAATTTAAACATTATCCCATGTATTTTAGAAAAGTTCCAAGATTCTGAAATTTAACCTAAGCAACTCAGGATTTTCCAAAATTATACCTGACAATCTTTGATCTTATATAACTTTTTTTTTAAACAATCGTGAATTGCTCAAACTATCAGGATTTTCAGAGAATTTCATAGGCGTTCAGTCATTCAACACACCCGTATCGAAAAACGCAGGTAACAAGCAAATTTGGACACACAGGGAGAGGAGGAAATTATTATATAAAGGAAATCGAAGAATGTACAAAATACCAAAAATGGAGAGAGTTAGCAAACAAAAGACAGAAAGATAGAAAGCCCCATACTAAAAGATGAGATAAATACAAAGGTGGTATGGGTACCAGAAAAAGACCCAAGCATAGATAACACACAGAAGGTATTCAGGGAAAAATATCCGCAGCTCCAAATTTTGGGGTCCTCAAACAACAATTCCAAGTATACATAAACACTACAGGACAAATGTCCAAAACAGAGATAATCAAAATAACATACCTGGAGGAAAATAGCTTTCAACAAATGAGGAAATTAAAGGAACAATGTAAGGAGGATGAATATATTTAATTGGACAGTGTTGAAACAATGAAGGATTTTTCATGGTAGGTACATTCTTACTAAATAGATGAAATTTCAAATTTTTTTTGTTGAGATTTTGTGCCCTAATGGTCATTTGGGATCCCACAAACTCAATACACTAAATTATTCTCAGATTTGAAGCCAAAATTTATGGAAAAGGCACTCAGAAAAGTTGAAAAATTGATAAATCACCCCAAATTGCTTAACACGATTTTATCTCAGGAACTATAAGTGCAAATGGGTTGAAATTTTCAGGGATTGTAGTCCTCTACTGGAATAAGAATCGCTGAAAATTTCAGCCCTATATCTGTAATAGAAAAAAAGTTATGACCTTCCAAAGTTTTCCAAAATATAGATCATAAGGTAGCTACCGTAGCTACTTTCTTACTAAAACGATGAAATTTCAATTTTTTTTTTTGTTGAGATTTTGTATCCTAATGGTCAATTAATATCCCCCAAACTCCATAAACTAAATTATTCTCAGATTTGAAGCCGAAATCTATGAAAAAAGGCACTCAGAAAAATTGAAAAATTGATAAATCACCCCAAATTGCTTAACACGATTTTATCTCAGGAACTATAAGTGCAAATGAGTTGAAATTTTCAGGGATGTAATCCTTTACTGGAATAAGAATCGCTGAAAATTTCAGCCCTATATTTGTAATAGAAAAAAAGTTCTGACCTTCCAACGTTTTCCAAAATCTAGATCATAAGGTAGCTACCGTAGCTACCTTCTTACTAAAACGATGAAACTTCAATTTTTTTTTTGTTGAGATTTTGTATCCTAATGGTCAATTAACATCCCCCAAACTCCATACACTGAACTATTCTCAGATTTGAAGCCGAAATCTATGAAAAGAGGCACTCAGAAAAATTGAAAAATTGATAAATCACCCCAAATTGCTTAACACGATTTTATCTCAGGAACTATAAGTGCAAATGAGTTGAAATTTTCAGGGATTGTAGTCCTCTACTGGAATAAGAATCGCTGAAAATTTCAGCCTTATATCTGTAAAAGAAAAAAAGTTATGATCTTCCAAAGTTTTCCAAAATATAAATCATAAAAATTGAAAATTGATAAATCACCTCAAATTTCTTAATACGATTTTATCTCAGGAACTATACGCGCAAATGAGCTGAAATTTTCAGGGATTGTAGTCCTCCATTCAAGGGGAAAACCGCGGAGGCATTTTAGTATACAAGTGTTAGGAATTTCGAGGTATTACAGGGGTATTCTGGGACATTTCAAGACATTTTTGGAAATTTCTTTGCATTTTTTGGCATTTAGAGGTATTTTGAAGCATTATGGTATTTTCTGAGTCATTTCATCATTTATCCTGTATGCAGAATCCCATTGACTCGAACCCCGTCGAAATATGAAAAACTACTCTTAACAAATGAAAATGGATAAATATTGAGATTTTTCCGTAAATTATTTCAACATCATTTCCAACCTTCATGCAAAATCTCATTGACTCAAACCCCGTCAAAATACGAAAAACTACCCTTGACAAATAAAAATGCCTAAATATTGAGATTTCCGTATCCTTTCTTATAGAGGATATGAAAAGAGGCACACAGAATTTGATAATGTCATTTTTGGAGGGAACTTTAACGTTAATTTTTTGAATCAAACGACACCTGGATATCATTTGTTTCAATCTCTAGTGGACAAATACGAACTTTCTCAACATATCCAAGAACCTACCAGAATTAATTAATTATTAATCATCGTGGAACACCCTGTATAAATTAAAAATCCCATTCCTATTTTTTTTTGAGTAGAGGGGGTAAAATTAAACAGAAAATGCATCCTGGAATTTTTTCGTTTGAGGCTTCCTAACCCCGGAAAAAAATCAAGAAGAAAATTCCAAAACTGTATTTCGAATTTCTCAACTTGACATGGCCTTATCAAATAGGCCATAACTCTAGAACGCCTGGACCGATATAAATGAATCTTGTTTCATTCAAGAGAGGATAAAATTGGCTACAAAATAATCGAATTTATTATCAATACCTATCACCATTCCAAAATTGGAAAGCTTCAAAGTTGAAATTCACCTTTCAAAATTCGAAGCAAATTCTTTTACATTTTCAACTTATAAGGGTCATAAGTACCCTGAAACCATACCGATTTTGAAAAAAAAAAGGACACACCGTTGATACAGTATTGATCTGGTTTAGGAAAAGATGCAAATAAGTGATCACGTCATTGTTGCAATATTCATCTGTTTAATTTGGAATGATGCTGGGGCATTAGTCGAACCAAAAGGCAAATCTCTGCTGTTTTCTGCCGGGACCAGCCATAAACTATAGGATTTTTAATGAGAAACGATAATCTCTGGGCACTCGAGGGTTTCATTTTGATGTTGAAAAAAGATTTCCATTATTGGGGGAATGCGGAAGTTGCAAATAAGTGATTACTACTGTCATTTTTGTTTGCAATATTAATCTATGTAATTTGGAATGAAGCTGAGGCATTGTAGTTAAGGGTCCAAATTATGAGCCTACTACTGATAAAGATACAAAATGATCAATATTTTATTATTCCCGGCTCTTGTAGGAAATCTACCACTGTGTAAAGCTACGGGGTGATCAATATTTTATTATCCCTGGCTCTTAATGTATAAAATCTTTTACGAGAGCCAGTAATAGAAAATAATTTTACCCACTGTAATTTGACTCAACAAAAATAAGCCACTATATAAAGATACAGAGTGATCAATATTCTATTATTTCCGGCTCTTGTAGGAAATCTTTCATGAAAGCTGGGTGATCGAAAAGAATTCCACCTTCCACCACTGTGGTAGAAATACGGGATGATCAATATTTCATTATCTCTGGCTCTTAAAGTAGAAAATCTTTCACGAGAACCAGTAATAGACAACAACTTTACCCACTGTAATTTGACTCGACAAAAATACGCCACTGTATAGAGATACAGCGTGATCAATATTTTGTTAATCCCGGCTCTTGTAGGAAATTTTCTACGAAAGCTGGTAAACGAGAACAATTCCACCACTGTGTGAAGATACGGGGTGATCAATATTTCATTATATCTGGCTCTTAAGGTAGAAAATCTTACACGAGAACCAGTAATAGACAACAATTTTACCCACTGTAATTTGACTCAACCAAAATAAGCCACTGTATAAAGATACAGAATGATCAATATTTTGTTATTCCCAGCTCTTGTAGGAAATTTTCCACGAAAGCTGGTAAACGAGAACAATTCCACCACTGTGTAAAGATACAGGGTTCGCTCGGTAACCGTCCAACAAATTGCATTGAAATTTTCAGCATTTGTAGCTCTTATTAGGCTCTAAATGGCCTGTAATTACCAATATTCCTAAATTTATAGTTTTTGAGCAAATTGAATTTGAAGTTTTTGACAAAATTTGGACTAAAAGTCAATTTTGAGGCTCAAATGCTCTAGAACTATTTGAGTTATCGAACTCAATTTTGCTAAATGGCTTTCAATTAACAATATTCCCAGATTTATAGTTCTTAAACAAATTGAATTTGAAGTTTTTGACAAAACTTTGAGGCTCAATTGCACAAAAACTATTTGAGTTATCAAAGTCAATTTTCCACAGAATTATAGAGGATTTAATGCTCTTTCTAATGGTATATAAATTATTTCAATTTGCTCAAAATTTATCAAAGATATGGGCAATTGTTCATGACCATGTCAAGATTTTGAAAATTTTCCGGAGTCAAAAATAGGATTTTCTCTTTATTTTTGTTTCTGCTTATAATGACCAATTGAATTGATGTCAGGGTTATTTTCCACTGATTTTGACCCGCTCTATCGATTAATAAAGTCAAAATTCAGCAAACCTGAAAAATAAGAAAATCGAGTTTTTCATAAGGGTACCCCCTTTGAATTCTGATTTCAAAATATTCAAACTTCAATGGCTCGGTAACCGTTGAGCAAATTGCATCAAAATTTTTAGCATTTATAGCTCTTATTAAGTTCTAAATGGCCTGTAATTAACAATATTCCCAGATTTATAGTTTTTGAGCAAATTAAATTTGAAGTTTTTGACAAAATTTGGACTAAAAGCCAACTTTGAGGCTCAATTTCTCAGAAACTATTCGAGCTATCAAACTCAATTTTGCACAGATTTATAGAGAATTTAATGCTCTTTGCAACGGTGTATAATTTATTTCAATTTGCTCAAAAGTTACCAAAGATATGGGCAATTGTTCATGACCATGTCAAGATTTTGAAAATTTTCCGGAGTCAAAAATAGGATTTTCTCTTTATTTTTGTTTCTGCTTATAATGGCCAATTAAATTAATGTCAGGGTTATTTTCCACTAATTTTGACCCGCTCTATCGATTAATGAAGTCAAAATTGGGCAAAACTGAAAAATAAAAAATCGAGTTTTTCATAAGGGTACCCCCTTTGAATTCTGATTTCAAAATACCCCCTTTGAATTCTGATTTCAAAATATTCAAACTTCAATGGCTCGGTAACCGTTGAGCAAATTGCATCAAAATTTTTAGCATTTATAGCTCTTATTAGGTTCTAAATGGCCTGTAATTAACAATATTCCCAGATTTATAGTTTTTGAGCAAATTAAATTTGAAGTTTTTGACAAAATTTGGACTAAAAGCCAACTTTGAGGCTCAATTTCTCAGAAACTATTCGAGCTATCAAACTCAATTTTGCACAGATTTATAGAGAATTTAATGCTCTTTGCAACGGTGTATAATTTATTTCAATTTGCTCAAAAGTTACCAAAGATATGGGCAATTGTTCATGACCATGTCAAGATTTTGAAAATTTTCCGGAGTCAAAAATAGGATTTTCTCTTTATTTTTGTTTCTGCTTATAATGGCCAATTAAATTAATATCAGGGTTATTTTCCACTAATTTTGACCCGCTCTATCGATTAATGAAGTCAAAATTGAGCAAAACTGAAAAATAAAAAATCGAGTTTTTCATAAGGGTACCCTTTGAATTCTGATTTCAAAATATTCAAACTTCAATGGCTCGGTAACCGTTGAGCAAATTGCATCAAAACTTTTAGCATTTATAGCTCTTATTAAGTTCTAAATGGCCTGTAATTAACAATATTCCCAGATTTATAGTTTTTGAGCAAATTGAATTTGAAGTTTTTGACAAAATTTGGACTAAAAGCCAAATTTGAGGCTCAATTTCTCAGAAACTATTCGAGCTATCAAACTCAATTTTGCACAGATTTATAGAGAATTTAATACTCTTTGCAATGGTGTATAATTTATTTCAATTTGCTCAAAACTTGCCAAAGATATGGGCAATTGTTCATGACCATGTCAAGATTTTGAAAATTTTCCAGAGTCAAAAATAGGATTTTCTCTTTATTTTTGTTTCTGCTTATAATGGCCAATTCAATTGATGTCAGGGTTATTTTCCACTAATTTTGATCCGCTCTATCGAATAATGAAGTCAAAATTAATCAAACCTGAAAAATAAGAAAATCGAGTTTTTCATAAGGGCACCCCCTTTGAATTCTGATTTCAAAATATTCAAAACTCAATAGCTCGGTAACCGTTCAGCAAATTGCATCAAAACTTTTAGCATTTATAGCTCTTATTAAGTTCTAAATGGCCTGTAATTAACAATATTCCCAGATTTATAGTTTTTGAGCAAATTGAATTTGAAGTTTTTGACAAAATTTGGACTAAAAGTCAACTTTGAGGCTCAATTGCTCAAAAACTATTTAAGCTATCAAACTCAATTTTGCACAGATTTATAGAGAATTTAATGCTTCTTACTAAAACGATGAAATTTTATAAACCACCCCAAATTGGTTAACACGATTTTATCTCAGGAACTATAAGTGCAAATGAGCTGAAATTTTCAGGAATTGTAATTCTCTACTGGAATAAGAATCGCTGAAAATTTCAGCTTGATATCTTCAATAGAAAAAAAAGTTATGACTTTCCAACACAAGAAGTGGAGAAGAAACAAAGGAACTCGTACGCATTAATTGTGGAGGGTAAAACGAACTCAGAGACTTTAAAGGGTGTTAGGGAAGCACTGGTAGGATGCGAAGAAAGAAACTCTATAAGTACAGGGAATTCGGAGCACCAGAGATGGAAAATTGACTATTACCCTGGACAAAGATAAGGATGCGATAGACAAAATACAAAACACCCTACAGAGAAAATAAAATATGGAGACTGGAGGACAAAAAAGAAAAAGTGACGGTGATATATCCGCCCCTGACTACCACCCCTAGACCTGACAGTGCAGGAGAGAGTGGAGGTACATAAATACGGATAACAGTATAAATCACAGGCCAGAGAGACGATGATGTCCGGGTAGCAAGAAACATGGGCAAGGTATACAGGGTGGACCAAGGGATTTATGAGAAACGTCGAAAGGTGGAATGAGAGAAAGTGGGGAGAAACGAACTATTACCTGACACAAGCAATCACGGGTCATGGAATTTTCAAGACCCTGATTAAGATAAAGAAACAAGAAAACGACATATTATGCTGGTTCTGCGAAGAACGAGACACGCCGGAGCATACCATCTTTGTATGTGGAAATTTGATGAGAAGTCAGAGGATGTATGTAGAGAGGAAAGATTGAAATTTGAAAAAAAAAAATCGAGAAATCATTTTCTTTTTGAATTGTATCTTTAACTCATACTTACAATAAATGCGGTTCTAGATTGTTCAGTATCCCCCGGTTGCAATCTGCCTTGCTGTATAGAATTGTGCAGTACATTGTAGGCCTGAGTCAAGTCTAAATACCCAGACGGATAGCCTTGCTTCAACCTGGCCTTCAAAATGTCACAGTAATCGTTTTCCAATACGCGACAAGCGTTGTTTATTATCACACAGATACCGTCCAAGCTTCCAGTTGAAATTGAACGTCTATAAAAACTCCATTATTAACCCTAAATATTAATAAATAAAATTAATTATTACCTGATACATTTTCTAACAATGAAAAACGTATCGTCCACCATACTAGACGTTTGCTGACCAGGCTCTAACGAATCCATATTGACAGCCTTTGCAACAGACTCTTCCATAAAATATTGCTCCAATCTTAAATAATGAGACAAAAGATCGTGTTTGCACTGGCTCAAATCACTATTCAAAATTAACTGCTCCAAAGTTTTAATCGATTTAGTTTTCTGTTCAGTCTCAGAAATACCAACTTCAATATCTGCCTAAAAAGAAGCCATATTTCAACCAAAATTGTTTTGAAATAATGCAACTTACCAAAACCTTCCTCTGTAAAAACTTATTATAAATCTCGCACCTAAAGTGCATCAAAGTAATTTCCCCAATCACAATATCCAAATCTTTAGGATCGGTTTTCTCTATTTTACTAAAACTTCCGCTAGAAGTCATCCTAGAAGTTTCAGAAACTTGTTGAATTTTTTTCTGAATCTGTCTAGCTTTGCCCCACTCCAACACAATCCTCTTGACTTGTTTGTCGCATTCTTTTTGCAAAATACTCACAGCAGATAACAGCCTGCCAGGGCCATAATAAGTTTCGATTAAAGGCTGATGAGTGTCTATAACTCTAGCAAGGCCTTCGAATAATAGTATCAAAGTATCAGCATAAATAATGCTGTGCCGTTTGTCTGCTAAAGGTGTACTTATGGCAGATTTAAGATTTTTATCAGCAGTCAAACCAATTTTTGTGCGCAAAAAAGAGCAAAAATCCCTTATGCCCTCCTGGTGCATCCCTAATAAAGGAAATATTTTAAAAAACCTCTCCACCGAAACTAAATCTTCATTAGTAATTGCTTCATTAAATTTATGCTCAACTATAGCTCGTAACTGTGAAGCAGCATCCTGTAAAGTCCTAACAGATTTGAGCATGTTTGTAACATTATTCATGTCATTTGCGGTTCTTTTTAGCAAAGACTGGTCCATGGACAAGAACCTGTGAACGTGAGCAGCACCTTTTTCGTAGTCTAAATCTAGAATTGCTTGTTGGACACCTTGCGAGCAAATTTCCAAGTCAATCAAGTCGTTTACTCGCAGGAGGCACTCGTCCACGTTGCCTCTAGCCAAATCCAACTGCCTGATTTTGCTGCTAATTTTTTCGGAGCTATCTGATATATCGTTTATGGTGGTTACGAGTTCTTGGGCTTCGTGTTTCATTACTTTTAAGGTGGGCATCAATCTGGATAGGCCTTTGATTTTGTCTTCGATGTAGGTTCTTTGGTTTAGCATGCCGTTTAGTTCTGATATTAGAGATTCCTGAAATTGAATATGAATTTGTCAATGGCTTTGGCTTTTTCTATTGACATTTGAAATATCAAGAAAACATATTATTCTGAGACTTGAAGCAGAAATCTTAGGAAAAAAGACGAAACGGAAATTCCTTGAAGCGATTTTTTCTCATATATCAGAAACTATAAATTCAAATGAGCTGAAATTTTCAGGATTTGTAGACCTCTACTGGGATGAGAATAGTTGAAAATTCAGCTTATCTTTGATAGAAAAAAGTTATGATTATTCAAAGTTTTCAAAAATTGATGTCCACAGGGTCTTCCGAGGGGCTTTCCTTAATTCATAAATCCTGAAAGTTTCAAGTTCACTGTGACTGTGATCATTAGAAGTATTTTGCACAAGTGATTTTTGCATGCATTAAAACTGTAAATTACTGGATTATTAGGCCTTGGGGAGCTATTTAACAGACTCCTCCTTCCAGAAACCACCCCAAAGGTACATTTTTTCAGCTTTTTAGGAATATCTTCTTTATTTTCAGTTCCTAATAAAAATTACTAGAGATCAAATTTGAAGCTTAAAAAATTTCCTACAAAACAAATTTGAATCTCTGAGGAGTTAAGGATGGTGAGTTGCTAGAAATACAAAGTGAACAATAAAATAAAGCATAAAAAAGCAATATAGATTAGAACTATTCTTTTTTTAAATGAATATGTTGCTTAGTTTTTAAACTACCCCTTAGCTTGGATATCTATAATTCTCCCTTGTATGAGGGTTTTCTATTTTCAACATAGTCAGGCTACCCTAAATGCCATTTTTTAAATTTTTTGATAATTATAATAAATATAAAACCTCGCAGAAAACCTGGTATAAAGCCGAGGGGTGAATTACCTTGAAAAATATGTACACCAGAATCCCACTTTTGACGAATTTCACGAAATCCTACTGGAATTCCATTAATAAATGAAATTTTAGTTTCTTCTCATGGTAATGCATGCAAAAATGATTAAAATCTGCAAAAATCACTTATGCAAAATACTTCCAATGATCACAGTGACTTGAAACTTTCAGGATTTATGAATTGAGGTTTCTTCTTCGTGGAAAAGTTAATTTGAAGTTGATTTGAATCTTCAAACCAAATTTGGAAGCTTTTTCTCACGTTAATGCATGTAAAAGTAAAAATTATTAAAATCTGCAAAATACTTCTAAAGATCACAGCTCGGATCACAGTGACTTGAAACTTCCAGGACTTATGAATTGAAATTTCCTTTTTTTGAAAAAGTTAATTTGAAGCGCCAAACTAAATTTAGAAGCTTTTTCTTACGTTAAGGGATTTTGTTCCGGGTGTACCATGTAAACGAAATCAGATGTATGTACTGGAGCATCAACAGTGTTAACTGATATTTCCATGTATAAACAAATATTTCTATGTGATACAAGTTATTGCCAACCGAGTTGCCAACTATTTCCATGTAATAAAATATTTCCACATATTGTCATGTATTGCCATGCTATTATTGACAGACTAAAATCAAATATTTGTCTATGTATGTAGTCTCGTCAGAATTCTAGGTATTGACATTATCCACAGGTATTTACATGTTATTAACGGGTATCAACATAGATAATATTGCTATTTCCTCAGATATTTCCATGTATTAACAGATAGGTATTTCGAAGTAATAATAAAAGTTATTGCCAACTATTTCCAGGTGTTAACAAAATATTTCCACATATTGCCATGTATTTTCCTAGTATTATCAAATGTTGTGCAGGTGAATATAAGAAGCATATTCCATTACTTTGATGAGTTTTTGGTGTTTCTGTCGGGGGCAGGGAAAAACTTTAATACAATAATGATGTCAGGAACACACAATGTTTACAATCTTACTGATTTTATTATACCTGGATACAAGGTCTATGAACCTAGCAGTCCCAAGGTGGAAAAAAACTTCGGGAACTATATAATAATTAGGTGCTTTTTAGGTGCTAATTAGGGCCTCTAATTAAAAATTAGGTGCTCCTTTATTTTTTGAGAAAATCAAAAAAAACTAAGGGACTGGTAAGTTTATAAAAGCTAGCAGTCCCCTATAGTAAAAATATTTTTTCAATTTTTTTTTTTTGTATCAGAATTAGGTGCTTTTTAGGTGCTCCTAAATAGTCGTAGAAAAAATAGAATTGATTAATTATTAACTGAGTAACAGATTTTTTTTCTACTACCGTGCGTAAAGTACTCACTTTACGCACTATTCAGAAGACGTAAAATTCGACTTCACACACTAGTGCGTAAAGTATTGCACTTCACACACTAGTGCGTAAAGTAATGTCAATGACAGATGTTGACACTATCAATTTTGTATTTTTCTGGTAAATTACTTCACGCACTAGTGCGTAAAGTGAAAATACTTCACGCACTAGTGCGTAAAGTGAAAATACTTCACGCACTAGTTCGTGAAGTGTTTGTTTAAATCTATTTTTTTACACATATTTGATTGTTAGTAGAAAAAATTTTGTATGCAATACGTGTGTAAAGCACCTTTTTTCACTCATGTGATTGTCGCACTCGCCTTCGGCTCGTGCGTCAAAATTCACAATAGCAATACAAAAAAATAAAAATTGGCTTGCTCACTTTAAATGTACAAAAAATAAAATTTATTGCTTTCTCCTTGTCAATCGGATCCTTGCAAGATTTTCAAAGTTTCAAGTTACAGAAGGATCGATGCAGGTAAGATTATCAGTGTAAATGTAGTGACTTGATAGAAAGAACAGCATGTTTAAAATACTTGGGAATTCTAATTAATGAACCGTTTACTTGGAAAGAGCATATACGAGGGGGAAACCATCTTAGAATTTTGGTGTACAAACTGATAGAATTTTTTAGAATTATCAGTATTTTTTAGCATTTTCTAGAATTATTTAGAATTTTTTAGTATTGCTTAGAATTGAATTAGAATTTTTTAGAAATAAAGTAGAATTTTCACCTATTGCGCATGCTCAAGAGCCTGCGCACTGCGCAATCTGTAGGGATTTTTGAAATTTTTTTGAATTTTTACAATTTTTCGAGAATTTTTGGTGTACAAAATTAGGTAGGTGGGTTCCCCCGAGCGGGAAACCTACTTAGAATTTTGGTGTCTACATACAAACTGAATTTTTAGAATTTCTTAGAATTTTTCCAAATTATCAGTATTTTTTTGCATTTTTTAGTATTTCCTAGCATTTTCTAGCAATTTCTAGAATTATTTAGTATTCTTTAGAATTGAACAAGAATTTTTTAGAAATAATTTAGAATTTTTATCTATTGCACATGCTCAATTTTTTAGAATTTTTAGAATTTTTTGGGACAATAATGACATGAAAATTAGCATTTTTCAGAATTTTAGAATTTTTGGTGTACAAAATTAGGTAGGTGGATTCCCCCTCGATATACAATATGTAACAAATAAAGTGAGAAAACTTGTATACAAATTTTATGAGATGCGCAACATTTTTTTTTTTCCAAAGAACGTTATAAATTATGGTATTGTAGTTTGGGGTTGTGCAGGAACAGTGATTTTGAGCAAGCTGCAAATAGCACAAAAGTGGATAATAAAAATACTTAAGGCTTTTTAAGAATAAAGGGTATCCTTCAGAATTAGTTTATAAAGATAGTCATTTACTTACATCAAATCAATTAAACATCAAATCAATAATACGCTTTATGCTAAAATCAGATTACTATAAAAGAGCAGATTGTGCATGGAATGAATACAAGAAATGCAATGCAAAACAGTGTTGTATTAAAAAACCTAAAACATGCAGTTTGCCAAAGTCACATTTACTGTATTGGCCCGAAAGTATATAACCGAGTATATGTATAACTCTCTGCCACAAGAAATTTGGTCAAAAACATATAACAGAGTTAAAAAATGTATTAATGAGTGGATAAGGGCAGAAAAAGGGGAAGAAAAAATATATAAGTAGGCATGAATAATAGTAGATTATACCACGAGTCAATAATGATAGCTATTATTCCCGAGGATTATTACGAACTGAGCCGCGTTAGCGGCGAGGGAGTAACATTCCGAGGGAATGATAGCCATTATTGCGAGTAGTATACTCTACTTTATTTACGACAAATTAATTTATTTGAGATTTTCAATGAACAAATTTTATCCGTCTCATAATTTTCAATACAAATCCACAAGCACTACACGTTTGACACTGACACTTTTGTGGAATAATGACCATTAATCCCGCTACTCGTCATTAATCCCTGGAGGAATAACATATGTCATTATACTGCCAAAATCACAAATTTAATATGCACATTATACATTAGTCGTAAATAAATAATATTAGGTCTGTTTCTGCAGGAATCACAAACCAGTCAGAGTAAATTTCATTGTTTGAAATGGGGTTTGAAACTAGTTTTCTGACTGTTTTCAACCAATGAAATTCGCTCTGACTGGGTTGTGATTTCTGCAGAAACAGACCTATTATGTATAATAATTTTGGGCGGTGTTCTTTGGAATTTCATAATTCTTGTTCTTGTGATATTGTTGGTAAGAGATTCTTTTAGAATTTTTCTAGGGTTATTGTCTCTGTTATTGTACTTGATAGGTACTTAATTTAATTTATTTTTAAGTATTTTGTTAATATAATATAATAAGTATATAATATAATATATAATGTAAGTTAATAAGAAAGTAATATTAGGCGCTGACATATACCTCAAATATTATATAAATGAAGTAAATTGGTGTATATACACACAGTATTTTATATACCATCATACACCAATAACTTTTAACAGTAATGAGATACCATACCATATTTTAATAAATAAATAAATAAATATTACCAGGTATTACCATGCTATTAACAGACTAAAATCAAATATTTGTCTTGCCAGAATTTTAGGTATCGACATATTATCCACAAGTATCTACATGTTATTAACGAGTATTAACATTAACATATATTATATATTGCCTAGATATTTACAAGTATTGACATACATTACCTACATATTAACAAGTATTGCATAGTATTAACCTCGGTATTGACATAGTATTGACCTCGGTATTGACATATCAACTAGTGATTTGTACACCGATTAACAAGGTGAAAAACTCCTCGGGTAATATTGTGTACCTAACACATGTGGATAGTGCGTTTACCGCCCTTAAAGGCTTGAAAGACATACTTTAGTTTGGTGTGGTAAAGTATCACTTTCCGCATTTGTTAGATTAATAACTATAGATTGGAGTATTGCTTAATTTCCTTGGTTCTTTCTTACCTCTTCTAATTTCAATTTCTCCAATTCCAACTGACACTGGTGCTCTATTTCCGAATAATTAGCGTCTTTTAAAGTGACCATTGCAGTGAGAAAAGTTAAAGATTTTTAAAATCAAAAATTAAAAATACAAAAATGTAAACAAACACACGAAATTGAGGTTAGGACTAGGGGATGTCACGTCACGTCACATAACTCACATATGATCAAAGCATATGACATGACCAATGACCAGGGCCGAGTTCAGGAAATAGGGCACAGGGTGCGAGTGCGATTTTATGGGTGTGCCTGAATGGACCTTTCTCATTTTACCTTACAGTGGATTTTACCTGTGCTGCGCGCGCCGTTTGTGGGTGACAGATAATTAAATCGTCAATTTACTGAACGCGGTCTGACCCTGACGTATTTAAGCTAACCTCAATAATCAATCAATATCAATCAAATTGCTGAAAATTATTACAAAAGCTGTTTATGATACAATGGTTCAAATGTGTTGTATGAGATCTTGTTAGAATAAGGCGAAAAAGAAGTCAAACCTTTCTTTTCACAAGTTCCCAAGCAATCAAATTGTAAGAAAACAATAGTTACGTGCTCTTAACCCGAATGAAGACGATTTAAGTTGGGACAGAGATTTGAGGGTTCGTAAAATAACGATTTCTATATCAAATACGATAATAATTGTACAATTAAAGGTTTGCTGCAAACATTTTTGTCCAACGGTGGGTTTTCTTTCTATATAATGCTAATACATTTTATTTGTCATATTTACGTTTAAAACTAAACAAAAACAGAAACATAACCGAAATTGCACAATTTGATAAGTGGAACCAATCAAAGTCATTCCACACAGGTATCGCGAGTCATTATATGTGTCTCTTTCTTTATTGCAGAAATCTTAATAAACTATCCTTGTTGTTCATTGCATGAGAAAGGTCCATTGACAATTGGCCATTGGGCCTATAGCACCGTCTAGCATTTTTGAACAGCAAGGGCGTCGCACCGGTGTCACACTCACACTGGGTGTGTCATTCCTGAACTCGCCCCAGTGTTGTCAGGTGTGGCGCTTTCAAAATTGACGCCTTAAATTTTGGAAAATGCGCCAGGCGCCCACAAGTAGCGCTTTAAAATCGTGGCTTTACTACAGTGACTCAATAAACCACAGTGGCGACAATTGCCGCCCTATTCCGGATTGTTTTTTTAAAATCCCATATATTAATATTGAAAATAAGCAAGATTATGGCGGCGGGGACGTGGTTTACCTCCAAGGAGAATACACATTCCAAGGAGTGCTTTGCTTATCGGCCCCGTTTTTGGTAATCGCTGCCATATTGGTTTTCAACCATTGCCGACGTCATAACTTAGTTGTCAGCTGCTTGAACAGCCTACGTCAAGGCGAGAAACGCCATGCTGCTTACGTCACAACTGGTTGTTTTGCGTGTTGAGGAGGTAGGGGGGATTTGTTACACACAGGCCTTATGAGGATAAGCCATCCTGTAGTAGTAGTGTGTATCATCATTGGTTTACCTCTAGATTCCTATTTAAAATTAGCAAGAATATGGCGAGACATTAAGGCTTTAAGGCCAAATTTATAGTTGTTCCTTTATTATCAGTTGCATGTCATTGTGAAAGACGGACCACTCGTTCTCCTGGGAACACTGCTCCCTTGTTTCAAGAATAAGGACCCTCTGAAGTACTCAAGCCCGACTCAGATCATTTAAATGCACGGAAGCCAGGCCAGCGCATCTGTGCCTTTCACCAGAGCGTGTAGCTCTAGTGTTCTAAACTCTTTTTAAAGGACTACGCTTATGTTCCGATATCAACTGTCAGTACTGAATTTACTGGGCGCCGTTCCGATATTACACTGAATTCAGTCGATTCAGTACTGAATGACCACAAAAGTACGCTGTTGATGTTGAAATCGGAACGACAAATGACAGTAAAATCAGCACAGTAAATCCAGTACTGGCAGTTGATATCGGAACATAGCCAGGGATGTGCGTCTACACGTAGACTTTCATTAGCTCTTTTCACGTGGCTCCGGTTTAACTAACCGGGTTACAAAACGGTTAGAGACATGACATACCGTTTTCTAACCCGGTTGCAAAGTGACGTGATGGATACCTACCACCTACCACTCGAATTTTAGCGGTATGTTGCGGTTTGTTAAACCGGAGCCACGTGAAAAGGGTTATTGTCTACTTTACACTCGAGCTACTCGCTTCGGTGCTTAGTCGCCCCCGATTCGCAGGGAACAGATGCGTGGTGCAACAAACACTTTTCGAAAGGAATAGGGGCGTGAAGCCCTGGAGCTGTTCCGGAGCTCCTCCTAGGTGTGAAAGGAATACAACTATTGTAGACAATGTAGACCAGGGACCCGAACCGGAACGATATTGGACCGAAAACCGGAACGAAACCCATATTTCATAGAAATGTTGTAGGGCAGGCATAACCGGAACCGATATAAATTAATAGGTTCTTACCGGTATTTTTTGGTTCCAAGATTTTCTAAATTGAGCTGTTTACTTTTTGGTTGTATCATAATAAAATTAACCCTTTAAAAAACAGAGCGTTGGACATTGGACAGCGCACATTTCTGAACTCGGCTAGGCTACACACCAAGGATTTTACATACTACTACAGGATTGCTCATCGGCTTCGATTTTTGGAATCAAGTTTTCAAGTTCGAATCTAGGAAATAAGCGCACGGGAAAAAAGCGCACGAACCGTTGTCGACGTCATCAACGTTAGCGGTTTGCGTTCGTAGTTAAGAATATTTCAAAGATTAACATAATAGTCAATAGACAAGAGGAAGATGCAAATGAGATCTGAACATGGGTTGTTTCAGAATATCAAATAATGTTAGGTACTATGGTTCTAAACCGTTTCGAAATACAATCCAATCCACGTTTTAAAACCATTTCCTCGTGCCGAGAAATTATGTCGTCATTGTGAAACTGATTTAAACCAGTTTTGGAAAATGTTTCAAAACTTTGAGACGCGAGAAAACACCTAATCCGTGGTGCAACTGGTGCAAACACTACGTCAAGGCGAGAAACGACACGCTGTTACGTCATCACTGATCGAAAACACAAACCACAAATTATAGAAACATAAATTTTTCTGTAATGACCGTTTTAAGGGATGCTTCTTGAAATGGTCAGTGCAAATGACCATTAGATATTTGTGAAAAACTATACCGGTATGAACCGTTAAAACCGAAATTATTGGTCCGAACCGAATCGAAATATTTCTCTTAGAACCGAAACCGTAACGGAACCGATATTCGTCATGACGCTGTGGACCGGAACCGGAACGGAACCGATATTTCATTATTATCGGTTTTCCTCATATTTATAATCAGTGAATGCTAATATCAAAGTGATAGGTATAAGCTACTTAGGTAGTAGTAATTTTGGAACTTTTTTTTAAATTTTCTAAAATAAGTTTATTGTTTACGTCACATGTAGACAATAGTTGTATTCCTTTCACACCTAGGAGGAACTCCGAGACGCATTTTTGTATCGAGCGCCCAGTATACCGCATTCGGGTAACGTCGTATTAACCGAGGCCTGTCTCATAACGAGCGTCTGATTTCCCGATCGATTGTCAAGCTACCGTACGCTTGATACTAGTCTTCTGCGAAATTATGGATCGGCGTCCAACAATTCAGTTTTTTTTTTTTTTTAATTGTTTATCATTTATTATGCACTGGCCAGAAAATTATATGTACCACATTGTCGATTCCAGCGAAATACGAACTAATTTCAAGACTAAGCAGGAAGTCGAGGTAAGGGAATAAGTAAGAGCAAAATTATGTTTTATCTACATAACCTTACCATGAATAGAATACCATGGCGAGATAGAATAGGCCACTTTCACGTTTTTTCGAAAACATTTTTGAATTATTGTGTTAGCCATTCTTCCAATGACATTATCATCTGTATACTTTTTTCTCCAAAAAAAACGCCTATTTTTTGAAATATGTTAGAACGATTTAAAAATCGAATTTTTAAAGCAGGTAAAAATTAACAAGATTTTTGCTATTTACTTAGGGATTTGTATACCTGCAATCGTTATTTGACAAATGCGGAGATTAGATTCAGGCAGATGTAAATAGCTATTTACCTAACAAGTGCGAAAAATGATTTTTCCGCAAGTGTTAGGTACAATATTTTTCCTACAGGCGAAAAAATGTAAAATTTTTCTTTTTTTTTTTGACATATCAGTGCGGTAAAATTTTTTCCGCACTGACAGCCGTGCGGGAAAACTCATTTTCCGCACGCATATCAGTGCGGAAAATCGATTTTCCGCACGGCTGTAGGAAATAATTATTTATGATGCTGTCTCTAAGTAACAAAACTAACCAAAACTAACCCAAATTGGAGCTGAGCAAAAGGTTAAGGTAAGGACAGCCTTAGGGTTAGTTTGGGATAGTTTGTTAGAGACAGCATCAAATAACTAGGCAAATAGCAAAATCTTATTAATCTTTAAGTTTTTTGCTACTTTCCATTCCACTTAGTGAACTGCTAGAATTAAAATTGCTTTACGATTTGACTACCAGAACCAAAATTAAACTAATACATATTATCAAGTAGCTTGATGGTGAGGAGCCAGGAAAACTCAAAAAGATATTCGAGACTGTAGGCGCGAGTCGCGAGTATCGAGCATACGGTAGTCCGAGTGATTTTCGTACTACCGTGCGCTTGATACGTGCCGAGGTCGGGTACCCCGAATGCGGGTTGCTGGACGCTCGATACAAAAATGCCTCCGGGACAGCTCCTGGGCTTCACGCGCTTATTCCTTTCGAAAAGTGTTTGTTGCACCACGCATCTGTTCCCTGCAAATCGGGGGCGACTAAACACCGGAGCGAGTAGCTCGAGTGTTTCAAACTCTTGAAAGGAATACAACTAAATGTGTAGACAAATGCCCACGTTAACAATTGACCTTTTGTTTCGACGCCATATTGCGGTGCGCGAACATAGTTGCCAAAACAAGAAAACCAAAAATTACTAGCGGGCTGTCAACTAGATATTTTATTATTTCTATTCTGCTCAATACAAGTTAAAATTGATGGTTTTTCTTTCCAAAAACATTCGTAATAGGCGGTAAATTTAAATTTTAAATGTAATTTATTCATTAACTTTGGATTTTAAAGTTGACAGAACGCTAATAATTTTTTTTTCTACTGTTGGCAACTATGTTCGCGCACCGCAATATGGCGTCCAAACAAAAGGTCAATTGACCTTTTGTTTCGACGCCATATTGCGGTGCGCGAACATAGTTGCCAAAACAAGAAAACCAAAAATTACTAGCGCCGGGCTGTCAACTAGATATTTTATTATTTCTATTCTGCCCAATACAAGCTAAAATTGATGGCTTTTCTTTCCAAAAACATTCGAAATAGGCGGCAAATTTAAATTTTAAATGTAATTTATTCACTAACTTTGGATTTTAAAGTTGACAGAACGCTAGTAATTTTTGGTTTTCTTGTTTTGGCAACTATGTTCGCGCACCGCAATATGGCGTCGAAACAAAAGGTCAATTCGAATTGTCTACACGTAGACAATCAATTGTTTACGTTGACATTAGTTGTATTCCTTTCACACCTAGGAGGAGCTCCGGAACAGCTCCGGGGCTTCACGCGCTTATTCCTTTCGAACAGGGACGGAGCCATGGGGGGGGCTGGGGGGGCGACGCCCCCCCCCCAAAGTTCCTAGAATATATCGAAAGTTGGGAAACCTTGGATAAAAAATTTGAAGTTGGGAAAATTGGTAGACAATAAATTGCGCACCTTTATTTGCGAGGATTAATTAAAATTAACATTATAGGATCGTGTTACGTGTCGTAATGAATTGCAAAATCACCGGACAACAAGATAACCAAATCCCAATGGAATGGTCACGGCGAACTTTTGCGTTGCACTTCGCACTGCACTAGCGCCACTACCACTATTCACTATTCAAGAGTCAAGACCGTCGACCGACGTAGCTATATTATCTATAGATTGTTGTGGCAAGGGCGTCGTGTTTGAGAGAAATAGACAATATAGTACATATTATTATATTAGATAATCCAAACTTCTTATATTATGTTGCCTTCTGCGTTCTGCGCATCCTTCGCTCACTATTCAGATTTCAGCTAAACTCTGAATTTTAGTGCTCTTGAGTTGAAGAAATAGTTTTTTCTATTTTGGTGTCATATCGAAGTCTTTTCGACACTAAAAGTAGTTTCGAAAAGAAGCTCTTTGTGACACTCCTTTTTTACTTATCGGAGGTTGGTGACACTGACTGCCTGATGGCCATCAAACTGTCATTCGCTATTTTATAATAGAAGATTTCTATATTTGGCATGTAGTGTTACCAACCTAAACTATGAAATCAGGAAATATGAGAATAAAATTTCCAAGAAAAATTTGTTTTTTTAATTAAACAATACCAAAATAGAAAAAATAGTATAAAATATTCGTTTCATAAGACATTTTATCGCACTCGCCCTTTAGAAAACTCGCCTCCGGCTCGTTTTCTAATATAGGGCTCGTGCGATAAAATGACGTCTTATGAAACTTGTATTTTAATGTACTATTTTCTATTTTGGTGTCATATCGAAGTCTTTTCGACACTAAAAGTAGTTTCGAAAAGAAGCTCTTTGTGACACTCCTTTTTTACTTATCGGAGGTTGGTAACACTGGCTGACTGATGGCCATCGAACTGTCATTCACTATAAAAAAATAATAGAAGATTTCTATATTTGGCATGTAGTGTTACCAACCTAAACATATGAAATCAGGAAATATGAGAATAAAATTTCCAAATGAACATTTTATTTGATTACATTATTTGTAGGCCAGGAATATATGTATACTGTCAAACTTTTCATTATTCTGATATTCAGATGAAAATATTATGGAGAGTGATTTGAAAGACGCATCACTTAACGTCACATTTTGGCAAATTTCGTTACACGAGAGACGAGAGAGAGAAGGAAGGTATAACGTAGACTGTAGAGAGACGGATGAAGCGAGCCAATAACAATGACAGACGAGGAACGATTGACACAAACCAAGGATTATAAGCAAAGAGGATTGCCTATTATTGTCAAGCGCCGATACCCTTGTGACGTCACTATAGACGCGCGTCTCCATTTTGTGTGGCACTTCGTCTTAACCTCGACTCATAAGCTAAGTCTAAAAGCTGTATGAGGGAGGGTACAGTTTTTAAAAAGTTTCACTTCTCAACACGTGTACGATGCTACACATGTTTTTTTGAAGAGAAACTTCGCAGCCGACGAACGATTAACACAAACCAAGGATTATAAGCAAAGAGGATTGCCTATTATTGTCAAGCGCTGATACCCTTGTGACGTCAATACAGATGCGCGTTTTCTTTTTGTGTAGCTTTTCGTTTTTATTATACCCCGACTCATGCGCTAAGTCTAAAAGTTGCATGCGGGAAGCAATAGTTTTTAAGAAGTTTCACTTCTTAACACATGTATGATGCTACATATGATTTTTTTATGTTTTAATAAAGTTGGAAAAATTGCGAAAGTCGACCCCCCCCCCAAACCAGAGGCCTTCGCTACGTCCCTGCTTTCGAAAAGTGTTTGTTGCACCACGCATCTGTTCCCTGCAAATCGGGGGCTACGAAAAACCAAAACGAGTAGCTCGAGTGTTTCAAACTCTTGAAAGGAATACAACTATTGTCTACAGGCACATCACTGAACATAGCCTACAACTATTGGCAGATCAGTTGGCAACAATGCATTAGTAGTTGTCACTTTTCAAAATACTATAAATAGAATTCTATTTAACTGTCGTTGCGGTATTTTAATAAATTTTTCAAACAGAAAAGCCTTGTGTTGCCAAAATAATATGAATAATGTTTAAAAAAAAAAAACTTCAGCAACCGCTTATCATCGTCTTATCTCGCTTTGTCATTCAAAATAGAATTCAGACGGCACCTAAATAGAATACTATTTAGCGACAACAAAGACAAACATATTGTAGTATTTTTCTTTTTGTCTTACTCATAGATTAAATGCCCAAAATGCCGCTAAAAAAACTTTCAAACTTTTCTATTTTGCTTTATCAATTCCTGAATTTAAATTACAATCCTTAAAAGTTAAAACTCCATTCCAGAACGCTTATATAACCAGCAATACACTCCCCAACGCCAATTACCTTACCTGAGATTTTTACCTGGCCTCACCTGACTTGAATATAGTGACGTCGCTTCGCTACAATGGTGCGCAGGTAATTAAAGGTAACAGCACTTGGTCTCAGTGAGTGTGCGGCTGAAAAGAGACGTGACTGACCTCTAAAAAGTGTTTTCGAAAAAAAAAAAAAAAGTGTCACAATAGGAACTTTAAAGTGTCCAGAAACATGTTCAATTCAATAAGGATTTAATTAAGTGCAACTTATTCATAAAACTAAACATTATATCAGAGGTAAGTGGCGTTTTTGAAACAAAATCAACATATTTAAATTAATTAAGTTCTGTAGTCATAATTATTTAAGTTCATTCTAAAGCGCCTTTTTCACTTTTGAGAGTCAATTTTTAAAGGTAACTGTAAATCTTCTAAAAAAAAAAAAAATCTAACATAAAACAGGTCAAGTTTTATGTCCTTGTAAAGAAATTCTTTGATACCGGTATTCAATCAGAATACCCTATGGTCAATGGTGGTCAAGTGCAAAAAAGTATATAATTGTTACGTACGGAGGTAGAAATTTACGCGTATTTACTGAGAATTTTTCATGTTATAAAACATCAAAATAATGATTTATTAGTCTTGATTATGTGAACATTATTTGCCTAATTTTTGTTTTTATATGGTTAATAATATAATATAGGCCTATCTTTTATAATACCCGGAATAAAGATAAAATTTGTATATTTTATGGTAGTACCACGCAACAAATCACTGAACAAACAAAATTCTGAAATTTAATGTAATTTTTGCTTTATTTTACCTTCTCTTGCACTATTTAATTTTTCGAGTTTCAAAATTGTTATACCTAGGTACATAATACCTACAAACTAAAAAAATTTCCTAAATTCTAACATTTCAATACCTACAATTTTATATTATTGCTAAATATGCAAAATCAATTACTGAAAAAAATTACTGAACGTTTCGTGTTAAAAACATAAGTACACATTAATTTAATTATCGTTGCAGTATGCAAATTTAAAAGTAGGTAGATAAAATGTACTATTAAACTTAAATAGTTTAAACTTTAGACTTTTCATCAAAACTTGTTTTATAAACTTACACAATGTAAAACGTTTGTCGCTAATTTTGCGTCATCGATAATTTTGCTATTTCAATTTAATTTTGTTCGATATGTTTAAAAATGATCAATAAATTGACTTTGTACTTTTTATTCGCGATTTAAAACATCACTCTTGCAAATACCTATATTATTATAATTATTTACGAAAAGATCTAACTCCACTCCTCTATTGTGTTATCGAGTGTGTTATATTATGATTTAAACTTCGCATATTTATTTTGGACAAATTTTGCACCTTATTCTATTACACTCGTATTATATCTGTGTATTTTTCCGTGAATTTCTTCATGTAGTTCAGGGTGACAACCGAAAAACTTCAAATGCAACATGAATCAGTATTATGAAAAAGAAAATAATTTTGGCACCCTGAATTACGAAATACACGGAAAAATACACAGATGTAATAAGCGCTTTAGGAACATTGAAAAAGCGAGTATAGATGAATTTTTGGAAAATCTGCCGCTTCGCATTTCGGTTATTAAATCACATATTCGAAAATTTTTCATTTTGGATAAATTACAAACATCTTCTCGGGAGATAAACAAATTTAAATCTAAAAGTAACCCATCGCAATAATTAATTAATAACAAGTTTCTTCTCAACTTAATTGCTTATTACGTTTACTTTGAACTTTCTCCGTTTTTTCAACGACGCGTCTTTAGTTTGGTTGACAACATTTTAATTTCATTTTTCAAATAATAACGAGATAATTAGTATTAGTGGGTTATTTAAAAACATAATACTCAGATTAACTGATAAGATGTGGCTCCAAGAATATGAAAGCGAATGAAAATCTAGGAAAAAAAAAAGTGTCTTTTTTAATGGAATTTCACAAAAACAATATATTTATTTTACTTTGGTCACGCTTGCAGTAGTACTACTTTCTTTATATAGGATGCGAGACTTTAGATCTTAAATAAATTGTTATTGCTTTTGGATTGAAGTACCTACATAAATATATCAGAAGGAAACATTAATTTTTAAAAAAAAGTAGATACAGAAACTTAATTTTTTACAGTACTGGACCAATTCCAGTTTCTACATGATTTTGTCAGAATCCTCTACTATCCAATAAGACCTCAATAATACGAATTCTTGCTTTCGCCATACGCATATAAGACAATCTAAAAAAAATAAGATTTAGGCCTCTGGTCGTTCGAGTTCGAAATAACAGCTGCTTGAAAAGGAATTTTTACACCAGAACAATTACCTATCCTTTTAACGCCTTTGAAATAAGAAATGAAGTAAAAGTTTCCGACATTTTAGCACATTTCTCTTGTTAGTTCGTTAGCAGAATAAAAAAAATCTTTAGTAGGTATTCTTTTAAAATGTATGAAGTGTAGTAGACTATTGTTGAATGTTAATTATTGCCTTTTACAATTGGGTTCAATTACTATTTACTTAATTTACTAAGCTAAAACCGAGGCTAAAACAAAAGGAACTGCATAAATGTTATGTATTTAATTAATATATTTTTATTATTTTCAGGACTTCTATATGTTAAGGCTGCCACAAAATGGTTATCGTGACACGGGTGAGTACCAACTCATATTGTCGGCCAAAATACTCTTAGACCTAAAGTCTTGAGTTCATTAGCAATTTAAATGATGCTGAAAAGATATTCAAAATTTCAATTCATTCAGCAGCTGTATACCTTTTGTTCTTTTGTACATATTTGTTAAGTTATGCATAGGCATGTTGGTGTAGTAAGAGACTTTCAAAATTAAGACTTTAGCGATAAGCTAAAATTCAGTACAGATATTTCTGGACAATAACAGGTAAATAAATAAGAAACACAATTGAATAAATAAAGTAATGAAATATACAACATTCTTCCTCGTTCAGTTTCTGACATAATCTTGAAGATATGAAGGTGGCCTGTAATTTCTCTTAACTAAAATACAACTATATTCTTCAGTAGACTGATTTAAGGCTTTCTTCAGTTAAGTCATTATAATCTTGCTTTGGCAGTATTATGTCATTTTGATCAAGTGTCACATCTGCCCTTGGTGCTAAATGACGAGTTGATACAGTAATTTTATAGTCCAAGAAACGAGGATCTGAAAATAGGGTTTACCTCAACATAATTAGAAGTTAACATTTTTTTGGGGGAATCGGTCCATCTTAATATGCGAAATAACATATTAAGTTTGCGACCTTGTACTTCCATAGGGTTTTAGTTAGGGGTGGTTTTTAGGGGTAATTTGCGGTTTATGGGGAACGCTGCTCGAAGGGATGGTCCAATAACAAAAAGTTTCAAATAATTGTTGTAGCTGAAGATTTTTGCTATATAAAACGCGACAGCACCCCTTTATCTTCTATAATCTTTTTTCTGCAGCATCTTGAATGCTAGCATGTTTTTGTTCAAGGTCACTGAATCAACGTTTCGCCTGTTTGCGCGCATTTGTTGCAGCAGCGGCCGAATGTATAATCCGATTTCAATTTTTCAAACACCACATTATTGCTGATGAAATGCACTCTCCAATGCTTTTTTTTGCGAATTGTATGTCAAAAGCATATGCCATATCGTGGGTGAGACTACACCAAAGCTTCAAAGCTCCCAGAATCACTCTTTAAGGCATAGCATCCTGAAAAAATCCTATTACGAACATTAGAAATGTGGTCCTCAAACTTAGGGACTTATCGATTGTGAGGCCTAAGAATTTGTTTTTTTTTGTCGAGTTACAGAATTATTATCCAGGTAAAAATTCTCTAGTTCACATCTAAAATTCGGAACGATAATAAACGGGAGTCGCACAAGGCCTTTACCCTCCTCAAATCTACATTAATATCATTACTCAATCTTTCCACATCTGAAAGTGTCCACAAGGTGGTCGAATCATCCGCAAAAAAAGTAAACTTTCCCGAAATTGGGAGTAAATCATTGACTTAAACGAGAAAAAGAATAGGTCCCTAGTGGGATCCCAACATTGATGTTTATTCGTCTGATTCACCATCCTGAAATCTCACGGTCTGCGATCTACACAAGTAGGAGCGGAACCATGAACCATCTCAAAACAGTGCCCCCAACACCATACCATTCAAGCTCCCATAGTAGTATCTCATGATTCACACAATCAAACGCCTTGTAATAAGTAACAAAACATTGCCGAGGCCACCTCCTCCACCCATAGAGCAGCTCAAAAAAACTGAAAATGGCATCGCCAGTATCAATCCTCCCTCGAAAACCGAACTGTTGGGCGCCCAGGAGTCGAAGCCCACCCAGAAAGGCTAACATCTCTCTCTTCACAAGCTTTTCTACTATTTTAATCATAATAGGTAGACGAAAGTTTGACGGCGTATCGTGATCTCCACCCTTATGCAAGATGCAAGGGAATAACCACAGCTTGCTTGAGACACACAGGACATTCGTACGAAAGTAACGAATTATCTATAGCTCTCTTAAAGTGTCACCAAGCAAATAAGCCACTCAAAGAAAGATTATCTCAACCTGTGTTCTTATTTTTAATTGCGCAGATAATCTCCTTAATCTCTTGTATTGATGTTGGGGAGGAAGAGAATGTCTCTGCCACCACATAATGTGCTCCAGATAGACCCTGAGCTGGTATTAATAGCGGTTGATGAATACCTACCTACTAGTGAATAGATTGGATGCAATGATGCAAAATAATTATTTATTATTTCGTTTTTGGCAATATGCAATAACTTCTCATTTTATTTCTTCACACTTTTCGCATTTTGCGCATGACAAACGCTAAATTCCAGAGTTACCACGAGCCAAATGGAAGGGCAAGGTCAACTTATACTCTGGTTCGTAAAACGAAGCATCACGCACCTGTCACCGGATTAACTCTCAGGGCAGGAGGAACCTGAGCTTATAAAACCGGGCATTATGCAATTTCAGTGAATTTTGCGATGCCTCTAAAAGTATTGAGTGAAACCTTGGTTGTTCATTGAGTAATTTCTTATGTAGTGAAGAGAAAGCAAATTTTTCCCAGAGATATGTACCTAATTCTTTAGTATACCAAGGCTTACGTTTAACAATTAGGAAGGGTGTATTAAATCTATATATATAAAACACAGTTGTGTTGGTTCTAGCACTTATAACTCGAGAACGGCTGGAGTGATTTTTATGATTTTTGCTTTATTGGATTTGTCTTTGTCCCTTACAACATAATAAATCGAAAAAATAAAAATAAAAAAACAAAATTACTTATTTTACTTATTTATGAAAAAAAATCACTAAGCCCGCATACGGCGCCATCTCTTATAACCGATACCAAGTTTACCGCCACATTTTCATTGCAAACCATTTTGTATACGGCGCCATCTCTGATACCTAGAACGAAGCTGGCCGTTGCGCGGTAACTTCATTGCAGATACAGTAGAACAATGCTGCTTAGGAACTGGAGCTATTCCGAACAGAACTATTCCACTATTCCGATCAGATAAAGTGGTGCAGAAAGAGTAGATCAGATAGAATAGTGCAGATACAGTAGAAAAGATGGAGTATTGCAGTGCATGCAATGCAGATAAAATGAAACAGGGCTGCGCTGGAGATTTTTTTTGTTTTCTTTACATTTTTTGAATATTCCTGTGCCTGAGTTTATTTATTTGGTGGTACACTTTACAAGAATAATGCCCACAAGCTGCCTTAAAAGGGATGATGTAAAATTTTAATTTTAGGTGACTTCTGATCTAGAGAGTAAACATTAATGTTCTTCAACCAAAGTTAAATTCACCATCGAAAAAAACTGAATTTAATTCAGCTAATAGACGCGTTAACACAACATTTGATAGGTATTTAATAATTCAGAGGCGGTACGAAGTTCGCCGGGTAAGCTAGTTTATTATAAACAATAGCGTGAAGCATTTCCAATGAGTCCTCAGTTTGTGCACACAACAGTTCAAATTTCACGAAGTTCCTTCCTGTATACAGTCTACCACGTTCTGCTCCCTGTTTAGATTAAAGGGAAATCAACACTGCTAAAGTTTACGTACAGCCTCATGATCGGACAATCCAGCATTAGTAGTCTACACTCTACAGACTGAGTTTGCATCGATGTTAGAGAGCATTATAATCTAGGACAGATGTTGACAAAGCTGTAAGTCTAGTTGGCTAATCGACATAATGCATACACAAATTAAAAGAATCCAAAAAATTGTAAGAGTCATATTTATATCCACGTAACGTACGGAAAATTAATAATAAAGAAAAGTTGAAGATCATGTACTTATATGTAGTTGTTCACATCCACTTGAAAATTAAGAAAGTTAACGTAACACATACGGAAATGTTGAACCAATTTCAACCACACAGAAACTATTGTCCTGTCAAAAAAAAAATATATACAGGGTGGGGACTTTAACTGGAGCTAATTCGCTAGAGCCTTCGGATAAAATATGTGGACAAAACGCAAAAACACGTCGATCAAGATTTTTTTTTTGAAATTTTTCCATATTAATTTTTTTATACAGGGTGTTCCAAGAACCGCTGTACGGTTATCAACTTTATTTTTTTCAAATGGTAGCCCCTGTATATTAAGACATTTCTGGATTCTGCTGAAAATTCTAGACATCCTAGACATTCCTCTAAAATTAACCGTTAAGGTTTTACAGCCTGTCAAAGTTGCAAAAAAATCCATTTTCAACTGTCAATATTTCCGAAACAGTTGAAGATAGGTATATGACATTGTGAATGAAATATGTCTAGAATTTTCTGCAGAATCCAGAAATGTCATAATATACAGGGGCTACCATTTGGAAAAATAAAGTTGACAACCGTACAGCTGTTCTTGCAACACCCTGTATAAAAAAATTAATGTGAAAAAAACTCAAGCAAAAAATCTTGATCGACGTGTTTTTGCGTTTTGTCCACATATTTTATTCGAAGGCTCTAGCGAATTAGTTCCAGTTAAAGTCCCCACTCTGTATATATAAAATATATGTATTCAAAACACGAGACAAAATTATGTTAGCGTTGAGTGAAATTTCAGTCAAAAGGGATTCCAGTTTATCCATGAATGATTGAATATTTCCAGAAGGAGATCTATAAATCCCCAATACATACAAGCTAAAACAACAGAAACCTCAAAAACTACCTCCTTCAGAAATTTCTCAACTGAAATAAACTTAAATTTTCTTGGAAAATCGTTCTGTTTCATAATCAATACTCCATTGATATGCATTCTGCTACCGAGAATAGTTTAATAACAGTGAATAATTCACAAATTCGAGATGTTCATCACATCGGAGCCAGTGCTACTCGAAAATTACAATGTGAGGAAAATTCAAAGAACCACCATATTATTATCTACCTTATTCTAAACTGTCAAGAAGCAATATACTAGGGCAAGGCCCCCTTGAGCTGAAGTTGTTCTAAAAAAGTTTACTAAAATGTGGGTTTGTTTTCCTCGCTTTTCCATCCATAGACGCGTTTCCATCTATCAGATCTTATCACTGTGGCTGGAAAAGCAAAGAAAACCAACTCAAGTTTAGTGTTTATGGGTAAACTATAGAAACAGTATGATGATGGGAGACTTTTGGTCGTGGCGTCATCTTAGACTTGAACTC